TCTATCACTTAAGGTTTAATAAGACTTTATAGTCTCTTACTTTAATAGGATTAAGCGTATGATAAAGTATATAAGAAATCTTAGGAATAATATACTCTTTATAAGTTTGTTTGTAGATAAGATAAGTATTTTAAAGCTATATAAACCTAGCAAAGTCTGAACGAAGCTATAGTATATAGATATATAATAAGATAACTTAATTAGCTAAGTTATTAGTAAAGAAGAGATTATTTTCTGATAGTTAAAGAAAGTATTTCTTTTTACTTATTAGTATACTATCTTATAGCTTTATAAAAGATAGTATTTATACGCTAAAAGAGTATATACCCTTCATATAACTAGCCTCACTAGCTTTCAATCTTGATATTTTATATACTCTTTCTATATATCTAACAATCTCTAAAAGAGACTATAGATAAAGATAAAGAGTCTAAGTCATTATCTAAAGATTCAATTAAAGGAGATCTAATTAAGTACTCTTCTATAGACGATTATACATTATCAAAAGAAGATGATTAAAGCTATTAAAATTGGATTAGCCTTAGTTCAGTAGATATAAGCCAATAATAAGCTCCTACTATAAGTAATATTTCTTTTCCTTAATCTACTCAAATTCAAGCAGATATAAAGCTATACCAACTAATAATATTAATATATTAAGCTAAAATAGATTATATAGTCAAAGTAGATACTCTTATATAAAACCATATAATATACTAAGAATATATATTAATTCTAGCATAGATTTTGATTCTCTATTATTATAATTTATAGTATCTGTCAATTGACTAAATATAGTTTGGTCCATCATAAATTCAACCTATATAGCGTCGATAAACCTTCTATCAACATTATTCAATCTTACTTAGATAGAATTCGTAGTAAATCGTCTATAAAGAATCTTATAGAATGTTAAATAGTTATTGTCAAATATATATATAAAGATAAGTTCTTCCTATATTATATACTAAGTTATTTTAAGTTGATTTAGTCTTAAAATAGCATTATACTTTAATAATTATCAATTAAAGAGCTTCTAAATCATTATATCGATAGAATATACCTACTTGTTTTTAGATCTAGAAAATACTATAAAAAGATATTATATACTCTTTGTTACGAAGGTATATAAATAATTGTTGATTTAATAAACCAAATTTATAGAACATTAATATCACCTCATCTTATAATTTAGGAGATAGCTTTATATACTTCTAACGCCTAAGCCCTCATTACTGAATTTAGCGTATCAAGGTATGTTTTTAGAAGTTTACTAGTATAAAAATCTAAATATATTCATACACTTTAATAATTATTTGGCCATCCTTTAATAAGCTTTTTATAGTATCTTAATACTAATCAAGATTGATTGACAGACGGCCAGATATAATTAATATTGATTTACCAAAAATAAGCCTATATAAAGTTGTAGATTTAGACTTAAAAAAAGATTTTGTAGGTAAAGATTATCAAAAATAGCTTATATAACAAAATAGCAGTATACAAGCATATATATCATAGTATAAGTTAGTATAAAACCGTTTTAAAGAGTATAAGAATGGTATTTTCCTAACGTAGGAGTATTATCTAAAGTATAATATTATAAAAGTAAGCAAAAGAAGCAAAAAAGCAAGATTCCCTCTAACAAGTATATTTATCATAATAGAAGTTTATATTAGGCTAACTAAAACCAATAAGGTTATATACTAGGCTAAATAAAGCTAAACAAAGATATGTAAAATCGTATAGAGTCGAAATATTATCATAACAAAAGGATGTTAACCAAATGGTTATATATTAGCTTATAGAGGCTTAATACTCATTCATATAGTCATTTATATTGTCATACACGATTACTTATTATAGTGTATCGTCAACTTATACTCTATAATATTTTGTAGAGTCTAAAGAGTATTATTACTTATAAGACTAAGGAAGTTAGTCTTTAAAGAAGTCTATACAGCTAGAATAGGAGACTATATAAGCTTGATCTTCTTAAAAGGAAAGTTATACTTAGAAAGAGACTTTAGATTATCATTATCATAAGTATATTTAGAAGACTTTATAGTAAGCTTAAATATAGTTAAGACTATATAAGTTAGTATAGATTTATATACTATTATAAAAACTATATCAACTTATAAAAGCATCTTTTAGCCTATAAACGAAACTGACAGTAGGTATATATACTACCCTAAGTATAACTAGCGTCGCTTATATATATATGAAAAGGATTATCGATGCGTATGTTTTTACAGTTGTTATAGCGATCTATACCAATATATATAAGGTCGAACCTAGTTTATATTAGCTTATATAATCTTATATTAGATTGTAAGAGTTTTTATACTAAATGTTTGGTATAGGCAGACATATACTACTGACAATCTTTCTTAATCGAGAGTATAATAATATGACTATCCTTGTCAACTATAGACTTAAGATCAATCTTATATATAAAAATTTATATAAGCTTGATCAGTATTATATTAGGAAAACCAAATGATAAAAGTATATATATACTGCTAGTATTAAGTAAGATCTTCTATATATTTTTATATAAGTTTTTTATAATGTTTTTAAGTATCTAACCAGTTACTATAATCTTATCCTTAGGCTATTTGTTAAGGTTGGTAGATAAAACGATCTCTTTGCTATTATATATAAATATCATTTCCTTAATAAAGTTGATCTTAGCTATATTAAGTTATAGAGCTTTAATATAAGCCTCCTCAGCTATATACAAAGGTTTATTCTACTCCTTACGATTTTTATTATCTATAATAGCCTCTACAGCCTTATATATAGCTATCTTATAAGCTATCATATTGATATTAGTCTATACTAGCTAGTATAAAGCTGTAAGAGATAGTGCTAGGCTAACTTAAGCCTTCTTGACTGTTTGACGGATAAAGAGTATATAGGCATATAAAAGCCTAGAGGAGATCTATATAACCATATATAGATCTAATAGTAAGTAAACCTATAGAGAAGTTAGTATGTATATATAGAGTATTGTAGGATACTACAAAATATGCTAAAAAAGGCCTTTTTGCCTATCAAAATCAGATAACCTAATTTTGACGTAAATCTGACCGGGAAAAATCATTTTTATAGTATATATAATCTTATAAAAAAGAATATTATACCCATACGATCATAGCTATATATGCTGGTGAAATATGGGTAAGGGAAGGCTATACTTACTTTGTTGGTGGTTGCAGGGGAAAGGAAGGTGCTGTAGGGCCTGCAGACAGCCTACGTAGGTAGGTGGCACG